GGGGAGTAATGAATAGTTATAAGACCACATAGATGAGCACACGTCATAGCCAAGATAACCACACAGAAAACAAAACAAAAAACACGCTCACAATATTCGTTAGGATTTCTAGCTCGTTCGTACCCATGTGTTATGATAACCCCCAACCCCTGTGGAGTCACCTTTCGACGCCCGTTAAATGATTTTGTTCATTTGTTGTGACATTGGAACTTGGTATTATTAATACTGGGTGCAGATGGAAACCTCAGATAAACGGAATAATGCAGCAGCACTGATTCCTGAATCCATCTGTAGTTCGGGTATCGGTGTGCAGATCCTACGGTGAGATCAAAGGCGATAAAATAAAACCAATGGTTGCGTGAAATAAAATCGCTTTTTCTTTTTTGGCCATTGAAAAGTTTAGTGAGGAGTGGGGTGGGGGTGTGATTCGGTCTGTCTTTTGAGATGTTTTTTGGGTTTGTTTGTTTTGGGGGTTTTTGTATTGTTTTTTTTTTCAATAGTTTTTTTTGTGTTGGCGTGTTTGCTTGCACGCGCTCTCGCGTTTGTGTATGTTGTGTATGTTGTATGTGTGTGTTTCTGCGTGTGTGTGTGTGTCTCTGTGTGTACGTGGGTGTATGTGTTTATGTGTTTGTGTGCGTGTCTGTGTGTGTACGTGTGCGTATGTGTGGGAGAGAGAGATAGAGAGAGATGCATGACTGTTCGTTGTTTGTTTGTTTTTTTAATGAAAATGCAATGTGTTTTTCCCTTGTCACATTCTCATAATTTATAATGTCTTCTTCGTCATCTCCCCAGGAAATGCAGAATTTGAAGGAATCTGTACTTGAAAAATCAAGACCTACACTTATGACCGCAGCAAATATAAGACAATGACAATGACAGGTAAGAGAAATTGTCTTTTTGTCCACTTACAACTCCATAGTCCTTCTTCTTCCATCGCTCTTTCGAGCCAGCGAGTTGACTTTCTAAACACAAAGAAAGCTGACTCCCAGCACTGTTTGTATTCAGCCATATCCGATACAGTTAAATCTTCTTCCACTTTTCCTGTCACACTTTTGGCGAATTTTTTGCAATATTTCAACAACAAAAAATGGAAACCAGGCAAACGGCATAGTATTGAAGCGTCGCTCGCATCAGCAGACTTGAGGTAGACGTCCTCGGTAAAACAATAATTAATAATACCTGTATGTCATCGAACGATTGATTACTTCATCTTCGCATAATTATCAAATTCTACCACGAGTTTTAAATTTAGCTTTACTCTAAACTGTATACGTTGTGCTGAGACAGGGTTAAAAAGAAATCTTCAAGTACTTACCTTAATATTCTCTCTTATTTAATTACTGTGGTATCCCCCTGTTTGGCAGTTTGTGTTTGTGTCTACGATTGAGGCTTTCGTTTGGTGTTTTGTTTGTTGCTCTTAACTGGCAAGAACACCAGAAGAAACTAGGCCAAAAATGGACAGCAGATGGCTCTTTTCATCCGACCACTGCCCCAAGCACTGGTCTATAAGAAAATGTGTGACCCAGTGAACTCAACCATATTATAGTTTGGGCTCGGCGGGGGAGGGAGAAACAGTACACACATTCTCAGGCACTGTCGACAGCATTTGTCATAACAATTACCTTCTGTGAGGAAGATTGGACGGTACAAGGGGAGCTCTTTTCTTAAGCTATGTTTGGAAACCAGAATATTTAGATCATACTTTGTTCCTATCTGTCATTCTTCTGTGATACGTCTTATGATCTTATTATCTTCCTGTTTTATTTTCATTTTGCTTTATCAGAATAATTATCACCATCTTGTGAGTTAACTAGAGAAAAGAAGAGTATAGAATACAGAACATGGACATGGAGAGACAGACAGTTAATACTTATCTACATGTATATAACAAACCATTATTGGGAGAATACTGTAAATGTGCTCACCTCAAAAAGAAAAGTAAGTTCCCATGAGATAATTTTCCATACACTCTCATATACATTCAGCCGTAAGAATAGAGCTAGGGTTAGAAAGGAGTGAGAAAGAGAAAAACAAACATACAGACGGAGATACAAAGAAGAAGAAGAAGAAGAAAAAGAAGAAGAAGAAGAAGAAGAAGAAGAAGAAGAAGAAGAAGAAGA